CCGCCTGCCTGTGCTGCAGCGACGCGCCCGCTGGGCCTGAGCCCGGCCAGCAGAGATTTCCCCTGGCCTCAACCCCCAAGCCCGTGGGGGCGCGGGAAGAGCCAGGCTGGCAGGTCGGTGCAGACGGAGGGGTCCCCGGGGTCCACACGCGCATGGTCCTGAGGCTTCTGCACCCAGACGAAGCCGCTCGGTGCAAAGGCACTTTCGGGGGACCAGGCCCAGACAGGGAGAGGCAGGATGCAGCGCCCCTCTGTGGGCGGAGCCAGCCCCACGGGGAGCAGGGCTGCGGTGCCGTGCAGGACACGTGGGAGCCGGGGCTGCGCCGAGCACACAGGGACCCCCAAGCCGGTCGGGGCAGAGCAAGGCGCCAGCCGCTGCCGCCGGCTCCCCCACTTTGGCTCCCAGTGTCTCCTTCCGTGCCCCGCCCCCAACCCAGCACACCCCCAGTCCAGCCTCCGGAAGCTTCTCCTGGCTGCTCCGCCCGCCCTTCCTGAGGGGGCCGCAGCGTGGACCCCCTTTTCGCGACGCTCCACTCCTGCTTCCTGCGGCGGCAGCACACCCTGGCCCGGGCGCAGGGTTCTGCGCCCCAGGCAGCGGGCGGCCCTGATCCCCCCGGGGCCCCAGCCCCCACCTTCCAGGTGGCGCAGGAGGGCCCAGAGGCTGGAGTGTGACACATGCACCCCCCTAGAGCGCGGAGGCGGCCGCGGGACTTGGCCGCCCCCAATCAGTCACACCCCAGAGCCCCGCCCCCCGCGTCCCCCTCCTCGGCCTCCCCGGCATCTGCTGCCTCACAATCACTCCTCTTCGCGTCCCAGCGCCCCAGGCCGCGCCGTGGGTGTGCATTCAGTGGCACCAGACAGAGGCCACCCCTTGTCCCACGGGACAGCAGCGTCTGCGCCGAACACCAAGCGCCGCGCCTCGGCACCTTGCTGGGCTCTGCGCAGCCATTCTGCTCTGAGAGTTACCCCGCCCCCAAAACAGCGCCGGCGCACCCCAGCCCCCACCTCAGGGCCGCGCTCCCTGGACGCTGCTCCGTGCGAACGAACAACTGAGGGTGGACAGTCCACAGGCCCTCCTCACCCCGCCCACAGCCCGCACCGACCCTGTCCTCTGAGCCGGCAGACGTCCCTGGGATGCACGCAGGCCCCCAGGTGGGGCGCACGGCCCCCAGATGGGGCAGATGGCCACCAGGCGGGGCGCACGGCCCCCAGGCTGTGCTTACTAGCAGTGACGGGGCTGGCGGGGGTGTTCACCTGCCCCCACATCCTCTGTGACCGGTGTGTGTGCAACAGACCCAGCTGGAGACACACAGGCCAGCAGGCCCAGCGGCCTCAGATACCGGGTGACCGTCTCCGCGGGACACAGTGAGACGGGGACGCGTGGCCTGAGTGGGGCTCTGCAGCCATCGTCAGCTGTGTGACTCTGGGGAAGCGGCCCAACCTCTCTGTGCCTCGGAGCGCACGTGGCCGGGGACAGCGCCCCTCGTGGACGCCGGCGGCAGCCCCCAGCCTCCGCCCCGCAGCTGCCAGCCCTGGGCAGGCGGATCCCGAATCCCGAACACGCTCCTGCCCTAAAAGGAGTTTTCCGGCGCAAAGGCCCAGAGCCGTGGATGC